CGGGAAACGGACTCTCACTGTCCGTATACCAAACTAATCAGGGCAGTATTATCAGCGTGTAGCTGTCCCAAGACCGCTCCGCAGAGGGTCCCAGTATTCGAGAGGATCTCTAACGGGATGGCCAAGTCTAGACCAAAGCGTCTCCATAAAAAGCGATCGGCAGTTCAAGGGGACGAACTCCCAGAAGTCACGATAAATATGGCTGATAAGGGAAAATCGATTCGACCTTCTATCTCTGACCCGCTTATATCTCATCGTCTAACCCGGTTGCGATCAGGAACTATTAGACGAAGAGATTATCAGAGTATGCAGAGGGGATTATCCTCGGACGATGAAGCATCGGATGCTAACTCGACAATCGCTTCTGATAATACGGTATCCAGTCCGGGACAATCCCGCGAAGTGTTCATGGTCAACACCAAAAAAATCGCCAAAATTCTTGAGGATGCTCTAACTAAACAGAAAGAGGCATTCAATATCGAAATAGAAATGGCCATGCAGGAAATGAGACAAGAGCATGACCGACAGATCCGAGATTTGTCGAATCAATTTGGTGAATCTAGCCGTCGCGCCCAGAATGTCGTAGTTGACAGCGATCCAGAAGTGGACGAAGTCATCATGGCTGACGCACCCCTCAAAAATACTGGGGGTGGTTCAAATGCACCCCCTAAAAATAAAAACGCTGGGGGTGGTCCAACTCATTCTCCTCAACGTCCTTCGAACGAAGATATAGACGAGGACGAGAAGATAAAAGACCTCGAGAGCAAAATCAACGCTCTGATGTCTACTCGAGAGGGGAAGAAGACCGGCATTCCATGTCCCTATCCAAGAGGGTGGTAATCGATCCCATATCCAACGAAGTTTAACCTAATCAACTTCACACCGTTCGACGGGAAGGGTTCCCCCACTCAGCACCTGATCTATTTCAAGTCCCACTTGGGAGTAATCTCTGGCAACGAGCCTTTGATGGTGCGGTCATTCGTTGGCACCCTTCGTGGGCCTGCCTTCGATTGGTACCGCCGTCTCAAACCCAGAAGCATCAACAGCTGGGAGGATCTGGAGAGCATGTTCCTCGCTCATTTCTTCGATGATGACGCCGAAGTGTCGATTAGGACACTTTTCGATGAGAAGCAAGAAGACGACGAGACGGTCGACGATTTCGTCAAACGCTTCCGGAATAAGGCGAAGAATTACCGAGATCCGATCACAGAGGACTTCATCCTCCAAACCTGTCACAACAACCTCTCCTTGGACGTGTTGGAGGTTATGGGAGTAGCACCGTCCAACAACTGGAAAGAGTTGAAGGTGCGCGGAGAGCAAGCCGAACGCTTCCTCCGAAGGAAGAAGGCCGAGAGGAGCCAACCGACGGCTAATCCTTCGAACTCGAACTTTGCCTCCCGTGGTAAGGGCAAGGCACCTGCAGCTGCTGTTGGTACTAATTAAATATCACAACAGCAATCCCGAAGGTAGCAAAAGACTTCGGACCCGAGACTCCAAAAAGAGTATTCCTTCAAGGACGAAGACGTTCCAGCCATTTTCGAGTCTCTCCTCGAAAACAACAAAATCAAACTACCACCTATCACAAATCAGGAGGAAGCTGACAACACGACGGATCCAAAGTACTGTGCATACCACCGGAGGGTCCTTCATCCCACCAAGGATTGCTTTACTCTCAAGAATAGCATCCAAACCTTGGTTGAAGCCGGCGTCATAATGCTAGTATAAGCCAAATGAGAATGGCGACACTCCGACAAGTATAAGAGTATAAACTGCTCCTTTCAATACTCCAATAGGCACACGAGTCTAAACTGTTTCTCACTTTTGATGGGAAGTTCCTAGAGAATCATATATTCTTAAGGATAACCCGAACATGCGACTGAGGATAATGTACTCCTCGTTACACCCAGTGTTGTAAAGGAAGCTGGGGGTGGATAATTCGTGTAACGGGAAGTTCCCGAAAGAATATTACATGTAATTTTCTTAGGGATAACCTGATCATTATGAACAAAATGATAAACACTAAACTCCTACTATGATTCCCGAACACTCTTTTGCTGAGATGAGATTCGATCACCTCACTGGATCAATCTTCCCTCACAAAACACTCATTGGTGTTTGACGATTCATAGTCTCCCACCATAAAATCTCCCACCAATCAGACTAATTGACGGTGGGACCACCAAAACTCCTTTCGTTTGAACCTACTCAAACTTTTGATGCGTCTGTGCACTTAACATTGACGATTGTCAAAACCCTCTGTGTTAAGTATTTGTCACTTGACATCAGGAACCCCCTCAGAGTGATTTGTACAAGTCAACACTCCCACTGTGATTTGTACTCCCACTCCCACTGTTTACCTGGTCAAACCTTCTTACAGTTAGGACCACAACCAAAATCCCCCTCTCGATTCCTCTAATGAACGAGGGGTCCACAAATTGAGCGATCAAACCTTCCTACAGTTAGGATCGTCTCAAACCTCCCACTTGGTCAAACCTTCCTACAGTTAGGACCACAGTCAAAATCCCCTCCTGATTCCTTCAATGAACGAGAGGTCCATTTTCAAATCGAGTGATCAAACCTTCCTACAGTTAGGGTCACCTCAAACTCCCACTTTGCCAAACCTTCCTACAGTTAGGGTCAAAACTATAATTCACTCTCGATAAACGAGAAAGTTACCTTTAGTTCGGTAATCAAACCTTCTGACAGTTAGGATTATCCAAATCTTTCGATTCTCGGAGTGGAGATCCCACTCCTAGTTTCACCTTTTCGGATTCTGGGGGTGGAGATCCCACTTCGAGTCTCCTTTCCAACTGGAGATAGAATATAAAATTCTTCCTCTTCAGTTTTGGGAGATAGAATATAAAATTTTTCCTCTCCCGCATCGGGTTCGTCTTTACCCCTGGAGAAGACATCACATTTCCAAACTCCTAAAATCCGTGCTTCACACGTACGGGGAATTTTATCCTGAATCCTGAGTAGGAATAAGCCAACGCCTAACACGCGTTGCCGGTTTAGTCTTTCACCGATTAAAAAAGATACCAGAATCCAGTCTGGGGCATTTTATCCCGAAGCCTAAGTAGGGATAAGTCAACGCTTAACCCGCGTTGCCGGGTGGTTCATTCCCGCAAAAACGACCTGTTTGTTGGAAATTTGTAGTAAAAAGACAATGAAAGAAAATTTGACTTGTATTCCCTCAAGATCAATT